AAGTAACATACACGCCTCATTCGCCTCCACTCGCCTTGAGGAGGAGGCCATTGCCGGACCGGATGGCCAGGGACACGATCTGGGGCAGGGCGTCAGGGCGGGCCTCAAATATGATGAGCAGGACGCCGATGGGGACCGAGATCTTGCGCAGCTCCAGGTCCTCGGCGATCTGGGTGGCGCTGATGACGCGGCCCAACGGCTCGTCCTGGCGCCCGATGGATCGAATGCCGTCTGGAGGGGTGTTGAATATGCACGTTGTGAGTGCTGGAAGGTACTATCAGAGGTGACCAGGTCCAGGGCGTGAGGAAAGGTCACTGCTCATACAATGAAGGCCAGGCCCTCAGTGACCCCCAAAAACATAGCACCTGCCAGCTGCGAGATCTTCGCGGGCTTCAGGATGAGGCGCTGCAGCAGGGAGTCGGTAATCTTTCCGGTGGCGGACTCGACGTCCTGGGCATTGGCCGCGAGGATGTCGTCCGTGTGCGCCACCAGGGTGTCGGCAATGGCGTCCAGCAAGGCCACCCGGTCCTCCGACTTCAGGGCCTGGAGCTGCCTGGAGGCCGACCTAGCCTTTATTGCAGCCTCCTGCGGAAGTTTTGGGGGAGGGGGAGGGGTGTCACCGCTGCCAGCAGTCTTCCAGCCGGGATATGGGCAGAGCACGTGCGCAGGGCCTAAGCTCACCCGTGCGTTCGCTGCGCCGTTGGATGCCATGCTGGAGGCCCACAACGGTGAATTTAGTCGATGAGTTTATGGGTATGAAGCGCAGTAAGGTGCATGTGCTGTTACGGGGTCCTGGAACCACGTTTTACATGGCCGGGTCGGTTGTTTTGGGGCGCGTGAATGGGGTTTGGTGAGTTGAGCTTCCCCTCGCCTTCGCTTCTCCCTCAACCCACCCTCCTGGGCTGCAAAGCACCAGGAGCCGTTGTCATACAGGTGACACCTTCATCAGGCTCACTTCCCTGCAGAAACACAACATGTTTTCATCGCGTGCGGGGCTTGCGCTGGATGTCGTGCAGGTCATGGGCTCCTGCCAGGCACACGGGCAGACCTGAGGCCGCCGAAATCGCCCTGCGCAGCAAAGGCGGGGGGTGGCGTGTGAGGCGTTTGAATATTCAGGCAGACTGCAGGAGTGCCGCGCATGCAGGTGGGAGGAGGCATCTTCAACACAAATCGCAGCGCACGCGGGCGGCCCCGGGCACACCGGCGGCTAACCTGAGGAAGACGCGCCCGCCCTCGTCGCCGACCAGGGCGGCCGCGGTGCCGGCGTCGCGCGGCCACACGATGACCTCCTCCGCGCGCGCCAGCCGCGCCGTGGCCGCCACGGCCCGCGCGGCGTCCTGCAGCGCCCGGCCCCCCGCGCCCAGCCCCCGGAGGCTGGCCACCATCACGTCGCAGGGCTCCGGGGGGTCCTCCTCCCCCTCGCTCCCACGCAGCACCGGGAGCAGGCCACGGCCGGGGCCTTCGAGCGCAGCGTCGTCCAGGATCAAGACCCTGCGCCCTCTCAGGCTGGCGCCCAGCACCTGGTCAGGTGTGACCGTCGTGCCAGCCGCCGTGCGCACTGCGCGCCCCGCCTTGAGCTCGCCGAAGCCTGGGCCGCGGGCCACGCCCAGCGCCAGCGCCTTTTCCACGTCCAGGTGGCCCGTCCTGCGGAGGTTCAGGATCATTTGAAAGGGGTCTGGGTGTTCAAGCAGGGTTCTGTGAGATTTGGGGCCCCAGGGGCCGAGAAAATGCAAGCCACGGGGAGACTGGCACGTGGACGAGGTCTCGGGTGCGTTGCCGGGGAAAGCATGCCCCCCAGCGCCCGCTAAGGGAACAGGGTCCAGACCCTCAGACCCAGGCTCCGCGGCAGTGGCCCACGCCAGCAGAGCATCCGCGCCCCGCGCACTTGTCGGCCTCGTGGATGAGGAAGGACAGGCGCTGGTGCGGGGCGGCCTGCGCGGCACGCGCCACGATGGCCGCCTCGGCGCTGGCCCTGATGGTCCACTGCAGGTCCGACAGCTGGCCGACCACAGCAGATGGGTCGCCTGTCGGGTGGGAAGGAAGAAGGGAGGGGGTACTCTGGGCCTCACAGGCGCAGGAAAGCAGCGCATGTGGGGCACACGGCCTGGTCCCTGGCCCGACATGCTGTGGAGCCTCCACAAGCCAGTGCTACACAGCCCCTGCCTCCCAGGCTGGGCAGCGCCCGCTGCAGTCCGTCTCGAGGGCACCTCGAGCACACAGCCTCTGCATTCAACTCAGCGCTGCCCTCGCTCCTTCGACCAGCCAAAGACCCCTCCTCCGATCATCAGCGACGTGCCTGCCCGTCCTCCGCCCACCCCTTCCGACTCCGAGCCCACCGCAGTACCCCATGGAACCCCCAGACCCGCTCACCCGGGGGAGGGAGGGGCAGGGGAAGGCACCCGCTCCTCTCGTCGCGCTTGGCCTGGCTGCCCACCACAGCGGTCCGCTGCAGGAGGGCAGTCATCTCCGCGTCAGAGTACCTGCGGGTGCGGGGCGGAATGTGTTTGTCGACGGGGAGAATGGTTTGCGCTTGCGGGTGGCCTGCCAGGCTCTGGCCCCTCTGCTCCTCGCTGCGCGCGCTCCTTCACGGCACCCCTCCCCCCATGAAGTGATCCACGAGGCCAACTGCCCACCCCTCGCACCCCCTGGGGTTGCAGAGGTCGGGGGGCACGGAGACGCCGTAGAGCCTGGCGCGCGCGTTGACCAGCGTCGGCTCCGGGCGGGCGATGGGCCCTGGCACCAGCTCGTGCACCAACACCGGCATCTGGAGGTAGGTCCTGGACACCGCCAGCATTGTACTGCGGGAGGAAAGGAAGGGGACGGGGGGGGGTTCAAAGATGCTGGGAGGAAGGTGGCGCGGGGGTGGCCACGGCTTGCTGGGCCCCAACGACGATGGCGCTGCTTGTGCAGGTTAGCATGGCCAGCAGCGCGGCCTTGGACCCCTTTTCACCCGCCTGCCTGCACAGCATGTTGGGCGCGTACTCCAGAGGGTTCCCCACCTCTCCCCTCGACGCCGTCTCACTCGAGGAACTCCAGGGTGCCGGGCGGGCCGTATACGTGCACGGGGAAGTCGGACCACTCGTGGCCGTGCTGGCGGCCGGAGGAGATGGTGCAGAGCATGCCCGGCAGCCCCAGCACGCTCTCGCCGCCCAGCGAAGGCACCAGCACCCGGTCCACCTTGGCGGTGTGCACGCAGGGCTGGGTCATGACGCCGCGCTGCGCATCCTCCCCGCACCCCAGCAGCCAGGTCTCCTGCTGCATGCGCGCGACCATGGCCATGGGCGGCGCAGCGGCGCCGCGGCTCAGCGTCAGCAGCTGCAAGCCGGCGGTGTTGGACTGCATCACCTCGCTCCCGGCGGCGCCCAGCTCCAGCCGCCGCCCCGTGGGGCTGGGGGGGGGGAAAGGGTCGCGACGCAGCGCCGGGGCCGGGCGCGGCGCCCGGTCGCGGCCCGGCGGCGGGGAGGGCGGGGAGGGGGGGTGGCATGGCCGCCGTGCGGCCGCGGGGGGATCCTGCTCAAGGGAGAAGGACCACGTGCAGGTCTTCCCGCGCAAGACATGTGCGCCTGGCGAGGTTCGCAGCCGGGCTGGCGGCCAGGCAGCGCGGCAGCGGCCGTCTGGTGGGGCCCCGAGCGCGAGCGCAGGCAGGTGCCGGCGATAGCGCGGCCGGCCCGAGGGTCGGTGGGTGGCAGGGCAGGGTTGCCAGGCCTCCGTAGGACTGATTCAGGAAGCCTGCTGGAGTTGGCGGGGCGATGGGGGCGGGAGGTAGCCCGCAGACCTGTGAGACGAGGTGTGGAGGGGCGGGGCTGTGGTGCGAGCCCATGCAACGGGAAGGCGACAGGGACCCCGCGGAGGAAGCACAGGCCGGACAATGGACATCGGGGCCTTAATCGGCCGCAGATTCCCGCCCGAGACGTACCATCCGTTCGCATGCTCTTGCATGCCGCCGTGAAAGGCCGGGACAGGAGGCGCAAGGGGCGCAGGAGAGAGGTGGGCATCGCCTCGCCGGGTGCAGCAGAGGTGTTTGGTGCTCTACGCCAGAGACATGACAATTACAATTTCAGCTCGACTTGAAGTACATCTTGAACCAGCCCGAGCTAATGCAGTGTTGGGATGCTCGCCCTCTCAACGAGAAATACACAGAGTGCCCCAGAGCTCAACGTCACGTTTACAATCTCGGAATCGTGAGACGTAATAATACAAAACGTGTGACTACGACGTTATACCTCCGAAGCTCGGAAGTTCCGCTGCACTCCTTGCATGGGCCGTTTGGCGAGTGGATGAACGTGATACGCATGATATGGAGTGTTGGGCATGGTGAGTAATTTGGGTGCTGTGCAAAAACCTTCCTCAGCGCATCGGTAAATAAAAACACCCTCAACAACAGCATCTCTCGTAGGCTGTGTTACAGTCAGGAAACTTGCCGCGGTTTGGATCACGCGATCCCTCGTACCCCAGCTGGATTCTTCAGGGAAGGTACAGGAAATGAACCTGGTCAGCCCACACTGCGGGGTCCGGGCGATGATTTGACATCGAGAGTACTACAATTTGTTGATTGGCTCGCTGTACTGCATGCGTGTTACTTCGTTATCCAGGGTAGCGTCGGTGTAGTGACGCAAGTCCTTGGCGCACCCCTTCCATAGCTGCTGGAGGTTGGTCACACCGGTCTAAAACTCCCGCCCCAGACCATGCAGGTACAATTTTAAATACGAAGATGGGTCACAATCGCAGAATCGATGCGATGCACGATGCCGGGTAGGTCAGTGTGAAGCTCCGGAGCCCGCTCGAGAGAATGCTGCGGGCCGCGGTAATGGGGTGGTAATGGGATGTAAAACCCTGACCGTTACGACAGTCATTGCTACACTGAAACAGGGAGACACCTTCGCCGGGTCTCCTGGGAATCTGCAATTCCAACTCGAGAGCCATCGGCTTTAATATGATGTATGATAGCTGCCCATCGGTCGACCGGTGTCAGCCTGCCGTACTCCCACGTGCCAAAGCGGACGTCAGCATCTAAGCCACACAAACCTCCGCGCAGCAGAAGTGCCGCTCGACCTCATTTAGGAAAGCGTGCAGAAGCTCGACAATTCATACTAACGATCGCCACACTCTGCATGTCCCCGTATAATGCTAGTGGCGTGATCTGAGACATGGCAGCTCGTCTGCGAGGGTTTGCCTGAAGGATCGTGGCCCCTGCACGAGTAATGCCTCGCCCTCGTCGACAGGGCTTTCCTAAATAACCTCGCGCAAGCTGCATCTGGACTTGAGGCATCTTTCAAGGATGTTCTGGTCGTCGAAGATGTATTCAGTCGACATGTCGAACCTAAGAACCCCTCAGCTTCACCTGCCAGGCACTCGGGGGCGTAATGGGAGAGGGGACGCATCTCGCAGAGGGCACGTGAGCAGCACCCTCGGCAAGAAATACTTGAGACCCACTGTCGTTCGGGGGCTGTGACCATTCAAAGTTTGACTCCCACAATACGCGGCCTCATTGGTCAGAGTCGACGAGACACCGCCCCCGCATCCCTTTGGGGCGACTCGATCCTGCCTGCTACCAACTTCGGCCGACCCTCACCCCCTTCCCCTGGACGTACCCTCCCTCGCGCAGCTACCACAGCCGGCAGAAATGACATTACCCGGTTCTTTTATGGACCTCGGCTCGATTTCAGGGGGGAAAGGCAATGGTCCCCGCTTGTTTTGCGGGCACGTCCCAAAGGTGCGTGCGCGGGTGCGAATCTGGATGAGCTTCTGGATTACCGGTCGCTTGGGCAGCCCGGAGCGCTCCTGAAACCCCTCCGAGCTCACGCCGCTGTGCCCCATGCACCCTTCCCCGATGCAGGAAGTGGATGAGATGGCTGTGAAGGCCCATTTCTCCCAGTGGGGCCCTGTGACAGATGTTTACTTCCCCAGACACAAGAAGACCCTCAAGCGCCGCCCTTTCTGCTTCGTCACGTTTGCAACCATCGAGGTACGAGGTGTCTGTACATTCACTCATTTTCCTCGGCATATGAGCATTCTGGGAGGCCCAGGATCCTGGGGAATGGGCTGGGACTGGTGGACTGCCGCTCATAACCCTCCGCCGCCTCCCCCACCCCGCCAAACACTTCCACCCCGCCGAACACCCCTGGAGTGCCTGCCATGGAAGCCGGCACTGGGTCATGGTCACAGGTCATTTTCCTGCGGCTTTCAGCCCATCAACCGCCCCTCCTCCACTTTCTGCTGAGCAGGGCCTCAGGGCTGCCCTGACCGGGTCCCCCCTGAACATCTGCGGGCACCCCATAAAATCGCTGACGGCCGTGGAGGATCGCAATGCCTACTACCGTGAGAAGCACGCCAGCGCGCCTTGCTGCCAGCTCGAGCGTGGGGGCGGGGCCCCTCCCATGTCCCGCCAGCCCCACTACGGCGTCTCAGACAGGCTGTTTGGCAGTGCACACGCTCCCGCGCCGGCGGGGAACCTGCTGGAGATACAGCAGCTGGCTCAGCTGCTCGCAATGACGTCGACCATGGTGCGTGAGAGGGGATGGGCCACGCGTGACCTGAAAGCCCTGGATGCAGGGGTTGGATCCGTGGCACCCAGCGCCCTGGGGGCCGAGCGACGCGATCGTCCCGGCGCAGACCTGGCCCCAGCAGGGCGCCCTCCTGCACCACCCCCTCAGAGACTCCACTGCCCCTCGCGCCACAGGGCGCCGTGCCCCCAACCCCCGTGCGCCCGGGGCATGGCCCGATGACAGGCCACGGCGCAGCTCAGGGCCCGGTCGCCGGGCCCTTCTATGCACCGGGGGCGGCGCTGCAGCAGCAGCACCAGTATCCCGTGGGGCAGGAGACGGTGCACCCTGCGGCCGAGTACCTCAACGGACTGAGGCGGGTGCAGGAGCTGTACCTGCCCACCACCCAGGCGCAGCGCAACACCCAGGCCGCCCTGGAGGCCCTCCTCCGCGCGCCTGGCCCGGGTGGCCAGCAGGGCCCGCCGCATGTTGGCGCAGCGGGTCGGGCGGCCACGCCGCCCTCGCTTGGGCCGGAGGCCCTCCTCGACACCGAGTGCGGCCGCGGCCTGGGGTCGAGTCGTGGGCTGGACATACCAGAGAGCCTGTCGCTGCCGGGTGAGTGTGGTGTGTTTGATGTCTGTGAGCGCCTGCGTGTGACGCGGGCATCGGCTGGTCACCCACCAGGGCCTGTCCCCCGGCGAGGGCATGCGGCTGGCTCAGGAACCGCGGCCCGTCCCAAACCTCAGCAGGCACTGCGCGCCGCTTCCCCCCGGAGTCCTGGAGCGTGCAGAGCAACAGCCCCGATGTCGGGCCAGGCGTGCCCGCCAGCCGGGGCGCCGCCCCCGCCGATGCTGCCCTCGCATCCCTGCAGAGGGGGTCCTGGCCCAGGTGCCCTCCCTCGGTCCTCTAGACCAGCGTTCTCCCAGGCAAGGGGGCCGTGCAAGCTTCCCTCGTCAGGCCTGTCCCCTACCACATCCCTGCCAATCCTTCTACTTGTCTATGGAGCTGAGGAGGCCTTGCCCCGTGCCACCCCCGTCAGGGCGCCTATTGGCCCCCTCCTCACCTTCTGGATTGTATTTGATTGATCCCAGCCACGAGTCCTCTGATGCCTCCCCTCCCACGCCTCCAGTGGGACCGCCCCCCTGTGCTGCTGCAAGGTCCTCTCATCCTTGCCGGGATTTTCCCCAACCCCTGCTGGGCGCAGCGCTCACCTGGCCGCGATGGTGACGCGGGCAGGGCCTTGCCCTCGTCTGATTCCCCCCCCCAACCCAATCTCCGCGTCAAGCCTTGCCTTGCCGGTGGGGGGGGCCATGCACTGTCCGCATTGATCTTTTTG